TGCTCACCTGTCATGCTAGACTGCAGGCTCTTAAATGGTCAGGATGAGATTTTGCACATGGCAAAATTCGGAAATATTTTTCTGAATTTCCCAAAATTCACATATTCGGGAAATATTTTCTGGCAGAGAGCACCAAATGGGAGCTGTCTGACTTCAGCCTCTCAGGGCTTTCCCTTCCTGGTGGAGCTTTCAGAGACCCACTAGAACTGATTGTGATAGCCACAGCACTTTTAAGTCTGTGCATGTCAATTTAAATAAAAAGGATATTCTTCATAGAAGATAATCCTCACCTGCATTTGTGAATTAAGAAAATAATGGGTTTTCCCCAAGTAGTTACAATTTATGGCATAAAAATTTCCTAAAAGATGTATCAATTTAACATTATCCAGTTTTTGGACACACGCTTCCCCATCTTCACTGGTTAAAGTTATGTGATGGTTTTTCATTTTCTAGGCTGACTCCTCCCTGACTCTTCCTCCTCTAGTCACCAAATCCAGCCTATTTCCTGCTCTGGACATCTCCCTGTTCACCCTTTCTGGGTGCTGCTCTCAACACCTTCCCAGGGTCATTGTAACAACCTCTTGAGTTCTCCGACAGTCTGCTGGTCTATTCACTCTCTCTTAGAGTGAGAATTGATAGCCTCTCTCTCCTCTGCATACAATTTCTTCCTAGACCTCTCCTTATAAGGTGAAGTTCATGTGTAGCACACTGACTTACAGAGCCTGTTGCTTTTCCAGACTCTTCTTTTGCCTCCTCCTTGAACTTCACCCTCTGGTAATACAACGCCTTCTGGTGTCCCAGGCCCATGCCTGTGCACATGCCCATTGGGGCTATGCTTGACTCCATCTCCGCATGGATAACTCCTGCTCTTCCTTCAAAACCCCACCAAGAAGTACTCAGGAAGCCTTCACTGACTCCATGTACTGTGGCTCCTTTCACCACCATGCACACACTTCTTGTTACTATTGTTCTTTTGATTCCATTGCCCCTTTGAGCCCAAGGCATAGAATCTCAACTGGCCCATCTGTGGCAGATTATATTTTCTTAAATGGCTGCAATAACACCTCTCATCCTACATGCTGTTCTTACAATGCAATCTTGACATTCATCCCACTGAGAGGTGGGGTCTATGTCCTTTTTCTTTGAATGCAGGCAGGCTTGTACCACTTCAACCAATAGAATATGGTAGAAGTGGTACCTGGTAGCTTCTGAAGCTGGGTCATAAAAGGCCATGCAGCTTGTATCTCTTCTCTTTGGACACAGCCTGCATGCTGTGAAGAAACCCAGGTCACTTGGGGAGACCACATGTAGATGTTGAAGCCAAGTTAAGGTCTCATCTGTCAGCCAGCACCAACTGCCAGACGTGCATATGAGTGAGGAAGCCTGAGATGGCTCCAGTCCCAGGTGCTGTCCAATTGCAACCAAATGAGAGCCTTTGAGCAGGAACCATCGGGATGAACCCAGTCAGCCCCCAGAACCATGAGAAATAATAATTAAATGACTGTGGTTGTTTCAAACCACTACATTTTGGGGGTGATTCATCAAACAGTAATAAAAAACAGGAATACCATTTGTGCATGGCTGTAACGTGACTCCTTGAGAACAGATTCCAGGGTTGGTTCTGCTTCAGATGGCACAGTCCCTGGCATCCAAGGCACCTTCTAAAGCTTTGATAGAGAAGTTGAATGATTCCCACCTGGGTAGAGTTAACAAACTCTCTCCCAGTATTCTTTCACATTACGGAGACCTCCTTCTGTCTGTCCTCCTTGGTCTCCCCTTTAAAATGAAGACCACCCCTCCCACTCCTTCATCCCCTGATCTGACCTGAAGGAGGACTGACTTCAGGACATGACAAATTCCTCAGGGCAAAGGAGTTCACCAGCTGGTTTCCCCACTGTCAAGAAAGAGTCTGGGGTGAGAAACACCAGGTGCCTAAGAAGGCAGGAGAGGAAGTACCACTGACCTTTGGCTCACTCACCTTTTGAACTCTTAATGACATCATTTGTGGCAAAACCAAAGGTTGCCATGGTGTGTTACTTTGCTGAGGCTGGTGGCTGAGTCATGTTGGGAGGCCAGTGTGTAGAGTGAGTCACTGGGTTAGTGACAAAGCCAGTTTACTGCCCAACCCCACGTCTCAGTAGAGTTGCTCTTTCCTTACTGAACCAACAACCAGGCCCACAGAAAAAGCAAACTCTCTAGTGCTAGGGGTTAAAGTATTAGAAATCAATGATTCTTAGACAGGGAATGGGCATCATCCTTAACAATAGTCACACATCTGGGGATGTCTACACATACTCTTCCCAAATGCTAAGGGTCTCACTGCTCAAAAGGGTAAGGAAGGCAAGCTTCGTTGACATCTCAGTGTTGGGAAAGCAACCTGCCTGATGTCCTGGGTGTGGAGGAAACTGTTGAGATCTGTTGGGCTGCTTTTAGCAGGTTAGATTGAAGGGGCAGCTCTACCTCACCTGCTTCTAGCTGAGCCACCTGAGACCTGTCTTCAGTCACTGCCATGACTGCCCCACCCATGTTCCCATGGCAGGTTGAGAAAGACAAGGGATCCCACCTCAATACGTATGGTATTAATCTTAACCAGTGGAGTGTCAGCCTAATACTCTACACTGCAGAGATCATGGGACAAAGAGATCAAACGACTTGCTCATTAGAGTGAAATCAACGTAATGTGATGTTAAATTGGAAGTTTTGGCTAAAGCTTTAAGAGACAATAAATATTTCATACCAAGTAGAATTACGAAGTCCAATCTGAAACCTCAATGATGAAGACATTCAAATATCACATTCACAACTTGTGAGCCCCTCACTCACATTCAAGGTGTAAGTTGGTGTGAAAAGAGTTCAGAGGAAGTTGTTAGAGGTGTTGTTAGAGGCAGGATTTCTTGGAGAGAGGTGATGGTGTACTCTGCATCCTCCCAACCCCCAGGAGGAGAAAGGGAGTAGTAGGAATGTTTGCTTCTCACCTTAAGCCTAGAGAGGTGGGCTTTAGGGGTCCACTCTGCAGAGCCATAAACTAAACAGAGCCTAGATTTTAAATCTAAGTCATCATAGGACTTTTCATTATTTAAGCATAAGCAGCAAAAGACACAAGGTTTCTTTCTAATTATATTACTTGACTCTGGCTTATTCAGCATACTCTTGAAACCTTGAAACTTCCAAATAACCCTTGTTAAAGTACTTTTAATTGCTCAAAACGACAACTACACCCAATATCATCTGGAGGGACAGGCAAGGCTGGGGCTATTATCTCTATTTGCCAGATGAGGAAACCGAGGTTCCAAAAGGTTAAAAAAACTAGTTCAAGGTCCCAGAGCAAGCCCTGGACTCTCGTCCCAGCTATGTTGACCCTTCTGCTTTGGTTTCCCCATCTGTATAATCTTGTTCAGAATTCTAGTTCCAAGCTATGCTCCAATCCATTTACCCATGTGTAGAATCAGAATCCCATTTCTATTGGCCACTCCTGGTACTAAAAAACACAGGTGCAACAGGGTTGAGGCTGGGGCTCTGGTAGGAGGATTTTTGCCTCTTTCTTCCTCCCACCAACTACGTTGATGTAAAAATCCTGCTAACCAGAATGAAAAGGAAAGCTATTCAGTGTTAGAAACCAGTGTAAAGAACATGAAGAGGCCAGGCATGGTGGCTCATGTCTGTAATCCCAGCACTTTGGGAGACCAAGGCTGGCGGATCACGAGGTCAGGAGATCGAGACCATCCTGGCTAACACGGTGAAACCCTGTCTCTATTAAAAATACAAAAAATTAGCCAGGCGTGGTGGTGGGCGCCTGTAGTCCCAGCTACTCGGGAGGCTGAAGCAGGAGAATGGCGTGAACCCGGAAGGCGGAGCTTGCAGTGAGCTGAGATCGTGCCACTGCACTCCAGCCTGGGTGACAGAGTGAGACTCCATCTCCAAAATAAATAAATGAAAAAACAAACAAACAAACAAACAAAAGAGAACATGAAGAAAGAGCTTAGTTCCACAAATATGAAACATATCACAGCTTTCCTTGTTCACTGACATGGTGGACATTTTCAAGCTAGAAGTTTACCACACCAAAAAACTCATGATTTCCACTCTTGGAGAGACCTCCCACCATCATATCCAAGTTATTATTGCGCCTCTAACTCCACTCACTGCCATTTCTCTCATTCTACATGTGGAGGAAGTTCCAGCGAAGTAACCCCATATGTGGAGAACTTTAAAGCTAGAAGAGGTGATAAAGAGGCTGCTGAGGGATGGAATGAGGACAGGCAGCCAAAGCCCCTTGCTCAGCACCTGGAGCACAGGAGCCACCCAGCAACTGTGAGCTCCCCTCTGGGGACCCACTCACTCTAGTTCCAGGCAGAACCTGTAGGCTGGGCAGGGCTACGTGTTTTCTGCCAGTTCCACAGGGAACCCACCCTGTGGTGAACTCAGGGCACGCACCAATTGGTAGCCCTTGGCCTGGAACCCAGTTCAGAAGTTATATAAGCAGTGGGTTGTTTGTGCTATCTGACAAAAGCCTCTCTTGCCTTCCATGAGCTTGATTTTCCCTAGGTTGAGAGATTTGCTAGCTATTTCTTTTCTGCTTCCCCATTACAAAACTGATAAAAGAACAATGCAGGGGTCATTGGTGGATAATATCAGGTCCAAGTGGTTATCAAAAAGATGGTAGTCACAAGGCAGGGGAGCGACTGGGTTATGCTCTCAAGTTTGGCTTTACTCCGTGTGTGTGTATCCTCCTGACATACACATTCAGTGTATGTTTTCTGTGGGCCAGGCACTGTGCTAAGGCATCCTAGACATAATCTCATTTATCATTATTCCCAGTTTCCAGATGAGAAAACTGAGTCTCAGAGAATTTCTATGATCTGCCTAATATTGCACAGCTGTACATGAGGCATGAGGATTTGCACACAGGTCTGTTGAACTCCATAGCAGCACTGTCTGGAGGGCCAGACCACAGTACTCCCAACAACAGCTTCCCTCCCCATCCCCAGTCTCCTCCTTACCCAGAGCCTTCATGTAGCCCTCAAAGTTTTCATTACTTTCCATCTCCCAGGTTCCATTCTGGTCCCTTGTCATGGTGGTGGCCTCTGGTTCAGTGAGGGTGTGTGGTGGATGGCAAGGAGCAGGCTGCAGGCAGAATGTGTTGGAAGGAGCTGCTTTTATAGCCTAGTGGACCAGGTTTATGACTCTGAAGGTAACAGGTTCAAAGGGCAGAAGCACAACTCAAAAGAACTTTCCTTTGCAAAGTTCAGCGAGACTATAGGCAACCCAGGAACAAAGTCCTGGTATGGCCAGGCGTGGGTGTCCCAGTGACCTGCACCATAAGCAGGGCCCTAGAGCAGCTCATTTTTGGCTGGCTGGGCCCCCATGGGCCCCTTGTCCCACACAGAACATTTCATCCAGTACTGGAAGAAAACAAACATTCAGGGTCTACCCCGCTTGTACTATGGGTCACCAATACCCAGGCCTCAAGCCTGAAGTCTATCAGCCATGAATCCAGCACTCATAGCAAGGCTGGTGAAACTGAAAAGACAGAATTCACACCCATGGAGCTCTACTCTACTCTGTTCCAGGGAGCTTTCATACTTCATTTTGTTTCAGCTTACAAGAGCTCTGTGAGTTATGTTTAAGCATCCTTATTTCACAGATGAGAAAGGATCATGGAGGTTAAATCACATGTCTAATCACAACTTGTAAGTGGTTGAGCCAGGATTCAAACTCAGATGTGTCGGGCTCCAAATCCTTTTCTTCAACAGTGTGCTAGGTCAGCTTTGAAAGAGGTTTGGAGCCTGACTTGAGAGCCCAATTCTCTCTTGCTTCCCTGTGGAAGCAAGGTGCCCTGTGGACTTCCAAACAGCAGGGTGAGACATGAGAAAAGTGTTTTCAGGGAACATGATTCTGCTAAAAGCAAGCTGAGCCTGGAGGGAGGCCAGATGGAGGCAGAGGGTCAGTGGGATTTTGCTTTAAGACCCAAGGGGAAAGCTGAGAATCACCTGGATCAAAGTAGGGACATAGCTGGACAAGGACCCTTGGTTCAGGAATGTTCTCCAAATGGGCTGTCCCAATGGAAATGGGTTAGTTTATTGCTCTGACACTCTATTCCAAGATGTGGTGTCTGAGAAGTGACTGGGAAGAGTGGAGGTGTGGGCTGAGATGGACATACCATGAATTCCCAAAGTGAGACCTATTTTGATGATGACACTGCGGTTCTCATATATGTATCCTTGTGCTGTGAAATCTAAGTAAATGGCTCTGTGTGTGGTATGAGGGATATAAAACAGCACATTTATCTTTCAGTAAATATACTGGAGTTAGGAAGACAGAGTGAAAAATGGCCCAGCTGTTGTCAAAAGGCCAATGGGGAAAGGTAAGGGGTGAGAAAGAAATAACTACCACAAATGGAAAATGAATGGAGGGAGGAAGGAGAAGACAGATAAGAAACCTTGGAGATTCATCCTGTGAGGTCCAGCCAGAAGCTGCTGTAGACTGAGCACTCAGCCTCATGGGCTGGAGAAGTAGATATTCCCTCCCAGGCTCAAATTTCAGGGCCTCCACTGTCCCTCCTGTTGGCAACTGAGTAGCCCATAGGCCTCACCTGTAAGAATGTGTAATGAGAAGCTGGCCTGGTAGGGGAAGGGGTTGGGGGCAAGACAGGAGTTGCTAATTGCACTAAGCCAGGGGTTTGGGGTTTCATGGGCATTGAGGGAGGAGGAATTAGTTTTGGTGTAAGATGCAAATTTGAAACTGAGATGCCTGTATAAAGCCAAGCACTTGAAGGGCTACTCCCTCACTGAGGGTGTAAATTAGTCAAAATCTGCAGCGACAGACAAGAAAAAAGTTTGTCTATTTGGCATGGGATCTACATAGGTTAAAAAAAAGTTCTGTTCTGCTCTGACCTTGGTTTGGGGTTTGAATTTATCCTTTCTGCTAACTAAAATATTAAAATAATAAATGTCATTGCTTGTTAACACTTTAAGGCTGCCAGGAAGAAGTAAATGTAAAAGCTGTGTAGAGGAACACACCTTCAAAACCAGATCAACCAGAATTCTGTGTGATAAAGCCATGCCAAATATGAGCTCATAATCCACAATTGTAACACACACTGACAAACCCACACAAACTAATGCTCTTTGTAACCCACCAAGAGCATCATCAGAAGAAACATGCAGTGAAATTAGATTTCCAGGAGTTTCAGTTAATAAAATCAAATATAGACTATAAAATAATTATGTTTAAAATGAATAAAGAAAATTAAAAAGCACTGAAAACATGAAAAAGGAATAAAATAATGTTTTTAAAACATTAAAAATTAAAAAAGAATAGTTATTAAAAATATGATCACTAAAATTAAAAAGGTAATAGATGGGTTAAACAGTTGAATAAACACAGCTGAAAGAATTAGTGAAATAGAAGATGCAGTCAAGGAGATTACCCAGAATATATGTAACACAGAACACACTGTGATGCAAATGTAGATAAAAATAAAATTCTAAAATTTCCCAGAGAGAACAAAGGCCACCATACAGATTACATAAAAAAGAACAATGTAATAATGAGATCGATATTAGGCTTTTCAACAACTCTGATGGAATATGACAAGGGAGCAATATCTTGTAATAATGAGGGAAAACACATTTGAATAAAATACTAAACCCAGTCAACTATCATTCAAGCATGAGTTTCAGATATACTCTTACCATATAACCTTAGTTTCAGATATACTCTCGTACTTGAATGACATAAAAAAGTTTCAGATATAATAGCCACAATATGGAAACAACCCAGACTTCCATCAATGGGTTGATGGATAAATAAATTGTGGTATATTCACATGATGAAATACTACTTGACAGTAAAAAGGAGCACTCTCGTGATATACACAACAACAGAGATGAATCTCATAGACATTATGCTGAGAGAAAGAAGCTTGACACAAAAGATCATATACTATATAATTTCATTTACATGAAACTCTGGAAAAGAACAAGCCTAATCTACAGTGATATATAATAGATCAGTGTTTGTGGGTCTAGGGAGAGCAGGTAAAGGTAAAACTCAAATCTACCCCTTGATCTGTGCTTTCTTATTGTATGCAAATTATACCTTAATAAAAAAGGTGTAATTATGTTGATTGTTTATATAAAAGCAATTTAGTACAAACTCAAACTAAAATTCTGTATTATACATACAGGAATGATGTGAAGTAAACTTGTACTAAGGAGGCTGTAATTGCTGATTGACTATACGTTTGTGATAAATATTAGTTTAAGTGTTTTTTTTTTTTAAAATTAAGACTAACCCTTATAGAGCAGAGGTTCTCAACCTCTAACAAGCATTAGAATCATCTGGAGGCTTATTAGAACACAGATTGCTGGGCTCCACCTCTAGAATTTCTGACTTAATGGGTTTAGGTTAGGGTCCAAGAATTTACATTTTTAAATAAGTTCCTGGGTGCCGCTGCTGCTGCTTGAGGACCGCAGTTGAGAACTACTCTTTTAGAATAACAGAAATCAAAGAGGAAATAAATAGAGAGGGAAAATAAAATCCTAAGGTTTGGAGTCAGCCACACCAAGTTTTAAATCTAGATTTCAGTGCTTCCTAGCTGGGGTGTCGCTAACATTTCTGAGTCTCAGATTCATTCTCTGAGAATCAGGGTCATCGTAAGAATTAAACTACACCAAAAAACCAAAAAGCTCTTAACAAAGTCCTGGCACATAGTATGTATTTGTTTCAAGATAGTAACTAGATACGGGGGCGACAGATCAAACTCCTAGTAAATGTGTGACTTGTCCTAGGCCCTCAACAAAACACAGCTTCAGCATATTCTTCTGTTTCATATCTATGCATGTGTAGGAACTGGGGGTGGTATTGAGGGAAAAAGCGAGGGATAGTGGATGAGAAAAAGCAATTGCTACTCAATAACTCAGCCACTATTGTCCCCTACACCTTCCATTTAAGGAACACCACAATCTTAAAATTGGTAGCAGAGCCCAATTTCAAAAGTTCTGTCCTAGGGCTCCCAACTCTGTCCACCACACTCACAAATCACATACCTGGACGTTGCATTTTCTCAGTTGCCTGGGTGACTCCATTTCTGAATTTATTTACCTAAGTACTTGTGGAATTCTTCAGGTGACTTTTAAGACTGAGGAAAATGATCAACTATAACCAATCTTTCCAGGTTACAAGAAGCTTTCTGGAGACTACATGAAAAAATGCAGAGGTAGATCTCCCTAGAAGCTTGGTTCTGAGATAAATCAGTCAGCTAAGAGTGAGCACAGCAAGGACTCTCAGGAATTTACCTGCTGTCCTCGGGAGCATCTGGCTACAGCAGCTGGGCTCCTGGGCTGGCTTCCTACAGCCAAGCAGTCTCTCCCTGGCTCAGGCCCAGGCCCACCCAGGCTTGCCAAGCTCTGTCCTGCTTTCTTCTTCCTCTTGATGGAAGAAGGCATTCCCTCAGCAGGCAAAGGGCCATTGGCTGGATGTTTGCTCAGCTAAAACACAGGTTTCCATTCCTGGGCAATGCCCCATGACTTGCCCATCTAGCTTAATTGAAGGTTCTCAGTATGAGAACTAGATGCTCCATTAAATTTGTCCTCACATGGAGGCCCCAGGGGAAAGTGTGTCTTGGAGTTCCTTCAGTCACTAGGTAGGGCTGGGTCTAGTCTTAATTTTTCATGTAAATTGTGCCCCTTCTTAAGAAGGCAGAACAGGAGAGCAGGGGGATCACAAATCCTCATCCCTCCCAGGGCCACAAGGACTCAAATTGTTCTGGTCCAAGAAGGGGCCTTTCGCAATCCCCTTGTCCTCTCCAACCTTCCCCCGCCCTCTTACAACAGTTGAGAATAGGTAGTAAGCTGGGAGTGGTCAATCCAAACCACCTCTTCCCAAGGGAGCTGTTCCTGCCTCTCTACCAAGCATCCTTGGACTGCCCTTGGCAATCCCACTCAGTGGAACTTGAGATTTCCTGACTTTTCTTTCCACTAGACCTAAGGAATGTCTGATATTTTCATTTGACATATTATGGAAATCTTTGCAAATCATTTCATATGATCTACTTCATTCTTGTTTATTTATTTATCTATTCATGTTTCATTGCATTTTAAAACACGTATTAATGTAATAACATTCACATGGTTGGAAATTCAAGCAATAT